GAGGGGGGAGATGTTGTTTAGAGAATTATGGGGGAGGGGGGAGATGTTGTTTAGAGAATTATGGGGTGGGGGGTTGTTGCATAGGGAATTATGGTTGAAGGGAAGGGGGTAAAAATAGTTTATATGTATTTCACTCTATAAAGACAGCGGCTACGACAGAAAATAAATCTAGCTATTTATGTTTTTTTATTTTTAGCTCTAAAAACGATAGGACTGTGCTAGGGGATAAATCTAGTGGTTTATACGTGTTTTACATCCGAAAAAGATCAGATTGGTCAAGGAGAATAATCCAGTAGTTTGTGTTTGAATCTATACAGATAAAAATGTTTGTGGGGGATAAATCAATAGATTTCTGTTTAAATCTAGAAAGGTAAATAAATATTTCATAGAGAATAAATAGATAAGTTTGTCTGTAAATCAATACTAATAAAAATATTTTGTAGAGGATAAATCAATAGATGTCTGGTTAAATCTAGAAAGGTAAATATAAATATTTCATAGAGGATAAATATAGATTAGTTTTTCTGTAAATCAATACAGATAAAATGTTTTGTAGAGGATAAATCAATAGATTTATGTTTAAATGTAGAAAAAAGATTTTTAGTAGAGGTTAAAAATAGATAACTTTGTACCGGTATTTAATCTATTCAGGCACAATATGTTGTGGAGGATAAGTAGATCAGTTTGTGTTTTAATCAAGATAGATTTAATGTTTGGTGGAGAATAAATGGATTAGTTTAGATGTGTCTCACCTGGGCTATCTGAGTTTAGAAAAATAGGGCTCTTTGTGAATAAATAGATACAAGTTTGGAGAAATAGGGCTCTTGGTGAATAAATGGATCCGTTTGAAAAGGTGGGGCTCTCTGTCAAGGAGAATAAATGGATTTATTTGAGGAGATAGGGCTTTATGAGAATAAATGGATTTGATGAAATAGATAGAGGTCTTACAGAATAAATGGGTTTACTTGTAAGAGATAGGGCTCTTAGAGAATAAACGGACTCATTTGAAGAGATGGGGCTTTCTAGGAGGATAAATTGATTTGTTTGACGAAATAGGGGTCTAAGGGTGTATACTTCCCAGGAAGTTGAGGTTGTTTCAGAATTCTCTCAGGTCTGCTGGGGTAATAGTATAGATTGTGAAGCGCGTAGAGCTTGCTGTTGAGCGGGGATTTGCGCTATACAAATGCCATCTATTATTATTATTATTAAGAGAATAAAAGAATTAGTTTACTTGTGCTTAACCCTGAATTGATAGCCATGTCAAGGAAGATAAACCTATTAGCTAGTTGTTTGTTTGTTTGTTTGTTTTTGTCCATGTGTGGTCTGCCACGTGTGCATCCAGCTGTCCTGTCGTTGCTCTGGGCGCTTTACATGGCAGTCTCATGTCGTCATGTCGTCTGCTAGACGTAGAACTGTATGTGTTGGTCACTCAGTGGTCAGTATGTTCTTGTGTGCTGGTGTCCCTAGCCAGTGTCTGGATGTTGTATCCTCCTTGTCTCACTGGACTTTGGGGATTTTGTGAGTTTTTTAATTAAGTGTCGTCCATGCCTGGAGCATTGTCTTTTTGACACTTTCAGGTCTAAAATGTTTTACTGTATGTCTAGCTTGTATGTTGGTGGTTGGCAAGTGCTCTAATGTGGTCTCCTTCTATTTTGTGTTTGTTACTCTCTTGTAACACCTCTAATCTTCTGGCGCTCATATCCAGTTTCGAGCGCCGTAAAACCTGTACTAAAACTAAAGCATTTTAGAATACTTCTAGTGCGAAGATCTCTTTTGAAACTTTCAGTATTTCTCAAAAAATCAATTTGACCGACTGCTATTTACGAGTAAATTTCCTCTTTGGAAAGTGGTGGCACAGAGTTGCCCACGTCGTATTGATACGATAGTAAAACACGACGTACGGATAGGGTTAAGTGGTGTCACAGAGTTCCCCACGTCGTATGGATACGATAGTAAAACACGACGTACGGATAGGATGAAGTGGTGGCACAGAGTTCCCCACGTTGTATGGATGCATGCAACCTACCTATACTCACGTATGACACACTTACACTCACAAAATATGAACACTCATCGTCTCAAACCCAACAAGCAGAGTGCCTTGTTTCTACTGATATAATGTTCTTTCAGCGAGACAGTTTGTTTGTCTTAGTTTGTTTGGCTTTTCCTAGTTGTTTCGTCCTTGCTCTTTGGTATTTTTAACTTTTAAATGTTTATGATAAGTAGATATGCTGTTTTTGCACACTAGTTAAGCATTTGTCTCTTCATTAAGGTGTATACCATTTTC